CGCATCCTGGCGGCCTGCTCTCCCGGGGTGGGCGATGGCGTCGGCTTCTGCAGTTGCTCCCGGCGGGGCGGGCGGCTGGTACGAGGCCTTGGCGGAGTCGGCGCCGGTGAGGGGCGCGGAGGAACTGCTGCTCAGCGCACACGCTGCCACGGGCCTGCCCTGGTGGGGCAGCATCTTGTTCACCACGGTGGCCTTGCGCGGTGCGGTCACGCTGCCCCTGGCCGCCTACCAGCACTACATCTTGGCCAAGGTGAGGGGCACCTATCCTCGCGTGTACCCTGCGGGCCGGCGTCTAGGTGGCGGAACGTTGAAGTGCACCCGGGGCTTCTGATCCCTGTGCTGCCAAATTCAACAAACTTTGGATGTGTTAAATAAGTTGAATTTGGTGATGCATGCACCTGTCATTTTATCCGCCCTACTTGGTTTGCGCTGGACCAAAGTGCAGGTAACCACTAAACTGGCTCTTAAAGAATTGAGACAAATAAAGGATTCATTAGCCAAAGAAATTGCATGGAAAGACCTAAGAACTACTGTCTTGAAAAGTTTTACAGGCAGTACACCTGCAGTATCTTTCGTCCCAAAGTTTTGCACCTGATACTTTTTATTAGGAAAAAACTAGCAGCTTGCAAATTTGATTTTTTTTGTGTGTAAGCCCTACTGCCTACAAGTTTGTGTCTGTTAGTTGCAGTGTAGTCATTTGACCTTTTAGTGCCTCATTCTCCTTTTTGTGGAATCAGGATAGTGATAACTTCTGCTTCACAATGGGATGAGAACAAATCTGACAATTTAGGTTAAAGTGTTTTGAAAACAATAAGGTACCCAGATATCCTATTTCAAAAATGATGGCTTTCATGTTTTCAGATTACTCTTGGGGGAAATCTGGAAGCAGAAAAGTAAGGGAATCGTCACCAGGATTTAGTCAGGGAGTTACTTTGCAGAAAGAATTAGCATGGGTCAGGAATAAATGTCATTTTTACTTTTGATTTTTGTGGCCATCACAGCATGTTAATGTCTTTTAATTAATATACTGCTATTTTTCTTGGGAAATCTAGGGATGGAATAGTAAAGTTCAGTCCTTAATAACCCTTTAGAGCAGATATTATTATATATTTTATAGGTGAAAGAGTAAGATTTTAGAGGTAACTACCCAAATCACATAGCTAAGTGTACAGGCTGGAATATTTTTTTTTTTTTTTGAGAGATTTTCGCTATAGGGCGCGAGCGCTCGCCAGACAGACAGAGACAGACAGAGAGACAGAAAGTGAGAAATCACCCCCCAGGTGGGATGGTCACGCTGCAGTCCCTTCTCCTCCATTCTCCTCTTGGGATCTTGGGCACGCACGCACTCGCGCCCAGCGTGAGTTTTAAGCCACCGGGTCTAGGACGCGAACCGCGGTCGACTACATGGGAGTCCAGCGACATAGCCATTACGCTAACTGCTGGTTCCCTGGAATTTGAATTTGGTTGTGACTGAGGACATCTTGAGTAAATTAACCTTTTTTTTTTTTTTTGGAGGTTTTTGCTATAGGGCGCGTGCGCTCACCAGACAGAGACAGAGAGACAGACAGCAAGAAGTCCCCCCCCCAGGGGGGATGGCCACGCCGCAATCCCTTCTCCTCTGTTCTCCTCTCGGAATCTTGGGCACACACGCACACGCACCCGGTGTGAGTTTTAAGCCACCGGGTCCGGGACGCAAACCGTGGTCGACTACGTGGGAGTCCAGTGATATAGCCATTACGCTAACTGCTGGTCCCACGTAAATTAACCTTTTAGGCTTAGACTTAAGAGTTCTTGGCATGATTAGTAAACCCCATTTTTAAATGAGTTCAGGATATAGAGACTGAAATTATGAATAAAGATCCTTTATGTGCTCATAACAAATTCTACTTTTTCTTTAGCTAGGTGGAAAATCTGCAGCCAGAAATAAAAAACATCGCCAGGCATGTTAACCAAGAAGTTGCAATTCGTGCACATCAATTGGGGTGGTCCAAAAGAGTTGCCAGGTGAGCTATTCTATGCAAAAGACCACCAATATAGTATAAAATGTATGAATGGTGATGTTAGTTAAAGGCTTGGGTATTCAGCTTCATCATTAAAGTAGTTCTTTACTTCTTCGTAGTAATAAGTCAATATGTGACATAATTTTATATACTAGATCGAGAGCAAAGAAACGGAGAAACAAAGATAGGAAGAGCACGTTCATATTTGAGAGGGACTTCAGTTCACTGGCAGAGTTCTGTAATCAAATAATGATGGCGGTGAATAAGTACTATATAAAGATTGTGTGTGAGGAGCCATGCCATCAAGGAAGGTCAGAAATGGCTTTATAGGATGAAGCTGCTTTGCCACTTTGTGGAATTGTTAAAAAAAAAAAAAAATGATAGGTTATTTACAGAGGTGACCTTTCTAAAAGATGCAGTGGGTAGCCCACAAGTAAAGGAAGGTAAAAAATGTAAGTGATGTTGCAAAAGCCCTTGGACAACCAAGGTGCTGTCTGTCTGCTGTGGTTCTCCTGTACAGCTGTCTGCGTGGGCTCTTGGAAAGCCCTTGTCCAAGGATACCTCCAGTCATCTACTGGGGACTTCAGAGTCCTCGTCCTTCCATTAACTTAAGTTACTACTTAGTCAATTTTCGAAATTCTCATCTTTTTTTTAATAAATATTTTTAAAAATTATTTATTTTTATTTAATTCCATTTATTATTATTATTATTTTTGTTTAATTTGACTAGACAGAGAGAAAGAATGGGAAAGTGAGAAAGCAATTGCCAGGTCCAGGACTTAACCATGGTCAGCCATGTGGGAATTCAGCACCTTTAACCACCACGCCACTTGCCGGTCCCCAAATTCTCATCTTTACTAGACTATGACAAAGTATTTAGCAGTTCATAGCAATGAGAAAAAAAATAAGGGCTTTGTAGTTTGAATATGTGTTACATATATTGTTATGCATATGCTTTTATAGATTAAAAAAAAATTTTTTTTTGGAGAGGTTTTTGCTATAGGGCGCATGCGCTTGCCAGAAAGACAGAGAGACAGAAAGTGAGAAACCCCCCTTGGGGGGATGGCCACGCCGCAATCCCTTTTCCTGTATTCTCCTGTTGGGATGTTGGGCACACATGCACACGCCCCAGGTGTGAGTTTAAGCCACCGGGTCCAGGACTCGAACCGCAGTTGACCATATGGGAGTCCAGCGACATAGACATTACACCAACTGCTGGTCCCCAAAAGATGTTTTTTTTTATCTATAAAGACATATGCATGATATGTATAACTGCAATGGTGATGTTAATTATAGGTTTGGGTATTTGCCAATCATCTTTGTTTATTTAGATTTTTTTTTTTTTTTTTTTTTGCTATAGGGCATGTACTCTTGCCAGAGAGACAGGAAGTGTGGCATGATACAGTTCTTTCTTTTCTTGGGATTTTGGGCATACATGCACATGTACCCAGTGTGAATTTTAAGCTGCCAGGTCTGGGACTCAAAATGCAGTCTACTATGTGGGAGTCCAGTGATGTAATCATTACCCATCTGTGGTCCCATCAATCATCTTTAATAGGTTGCTGCATGGCCATACACCCTGGAGGTGATTTCTCACTTTCCCTCTTTCTCTCTGGTGAGCACATGTGCCTTGTAGAAAAAAAAAAAAAAAATACTAGCTGCTTACTTGAGTTATAAATGCAACCTCGATTTGACTTATGACACCTTGATATGCACACTGGCAAGATGGTTGTCTAAGTCTTTACATAGAAAGGTGGCATTCTAGCAAGACCCACTTCAAGGCGTCTGCATTTTCACTAGTACTGAATCTTGAAGGGTGGTCTGTTAGGTAGACACCCCGACACACACACAAGAAAGTAAGCTGTCAACACTAGTGATAGAATACTTCCAAAAACATGCTGCAGTAGAAGTATGATTGTTAGATGTTCTCGAGTTATTCAAGGATCAGGACCAGGACAAACAGGTGTCTGGAGGCATAACAGGTGACAAGTTGGAAAAATAGGTGGATATTAAATTACAAAGGGCCTAGAATGTTTGCGTGTGCTGTCTTAATTCAGAATACTGTACTTCGATTAAATGCAGCAAAAGTATTGAACACCTGCCTTATACAAAATATACAAGAGATTGAAAGATGAATGAGACTCAACACTTGCCCCTCAAGGAGACTGCAGTCTCAAAAGTGAGACTTAGGGACCAGCTGATGGCATGGTGGTTGAGGTGCTAGACTCCCAAATTCCTGACTTCAGTTCAAATCCCAGACCTGGTTACTTGTTTTCTTTCTGTCTCTCTGGTGATCCCATGTGCCCTATAGCAAACAAAATAGTAATAAATAATAAAATTAAATCTAAAAAACAAGTGAGACTTAAGCATAGGCATAACTTATGTTAACTATAGTATAGTTGACTGAGAAACAGTTGAAGAAAATCTTCATGAGAGAATTGATTGAAAAAGGGACACGATTTTGACATGCCAAGAGTACATATAGCACCAAATTACACAGCTACAAAAAAGTATATTCAGGGATCGGGTGATCTAATTTGGACACAGTAGAGAGATTTGAATAAAATGTGCTTTTAGCTTTAGGTTTCTGTTTTTCATTTTGTTCATAAAATGTCAGCAGACTACCAGAGACAAAGCCTGTTCTCTGACAACATCAGATTTATTGGATTGTTCAGTCAGTTATTTATTTATTTATTTATTTTTGGAGAGGGTTTTTGTTGTTGTTGTTGTTATAGAGCGCGTGCGCTCGCCAGAAAGACAGAGACAGAGAGACCCAGACAGAAAGCGAGAAATCACCCCCGAGGGGATGGCCATGCTGCAATCCTTTCTCCTCCATTCTCCTCTCAGGATCTTGGGCATGCATGTACACACTAGGACTTGAATCGTGGTCGACTACATGGGAGTCCAGCGACATAGCCATTACAACAACTGCTGGTCCCTGTTCAGTCATTTATGTACATTGCTATATGAGTTTCAGTAAAAGATTTTATTTGCTTTGTGTTGAAGCAGTCCCTTAAAACAGCTTATGATAACTGAAACAGCTGTACAATTCCTTTAACCAGTAATTATAGCATGGGTATGTTCATGTAAGGAGATGAAGCACTATCCATAGTCAAATGACACTTTTTATTGTCCCTTTTCGCCCTTTTCCTTCATGATTTAGGCTCACTTACATAAGGAATATGAGGAGGCTTGTTTCAGAGTTGTACATTCGGGATAACTGCCATCCTTTCAAAGCCACTGTGCTGGTCTGGATTCAGCTTCCAATGTGGGTCTTCATGTCTGTTGCACTTCGGAATTTTAGCATAGGGGCAACACATTCAGAAGGTAATCAGGCATCTGCTTCTCTCAAATGAGTGCTCTAACATTTCCTTTGTCTAAAAAAAATTATACTTTCTGTAATTAGGATATGTTTATGTTTACTATCTTTCTTACAAGGGCATAGAATTTAACATCTTAACTGTGAACAGTCTAACTGTATTGAGAAAAATGTTTTTGGTTGACGGGGGAAAAAATACGGGATGAATTAGAGTAACTTGAATGAAACTAGTTCAGATCTTTCATATGAAGGACATCTTATTGGAATTGTTAGACTACTTATATTTTCTGTTTCCCTCTGCTATTGTTAGGAATGCTGTTGTTTTATTTGTGAAACTGTTTCAGCAGGTTTTTCTGTTCAGGAGCAGTTAGCTACTGGTGGGATCCTGTGGTTTCCTGACCTCACTGCGCTGGATTCTACTTGGATTCTACCTGTCTCTGTTGGTGTCATCAATTTACTAATAGTGGAGGTCAGTGTTTTAAATGAGGCTTGTTTGCCATTTAAATCACGGGAATATTTGTTGCTGTTGGCCTGATATCAAACATATATATTCTGAGTTCGAATTGAGACTTCTTAATTTCTGGTCCCAGATCAGCCATTGCTTTAATAGACTAAAACACTTAGATAAATCCTTTGGCCAGTAACCACAGCATAAGTGAGTTTGTACTAAGGGGATGAAGCACTGTTGTAATCAAATGCCCTTTAAACTCTCTGGACCTCAGAATTGTCCTAATTAAAGTATGAGTGTTTATAATTGAAATACTTATTCAAAAGTCTTTCACCTTTAAAATTATTTGATTCTGTTTTTTTTTTTTTTTTCTTTTTTTCTTTTTTTAAAGGCTTTTGCTATAGGGTGCATATGCTTGCTGGGGGGGTGGGGGGGACAGAGAGAGGGAAAGTGAGAAATAATTCCCCAGAGGGATGGCCATGCTGCAATCCCTTCCTCATTCTCAGGATTTTGGATATGTAAGCACCTGTATCCAGTGTAATTTTCTTTCCTTTTTTTTAAGAACTATTTTATTTAACTTTATTTATTTATTTATTTAAATTTGTCTAGAGAGGGACAGAGAGAGAGAGAGAAAGTGAGAAAGCAAGCCACCACGTCTGAGAGTCAAATCACAGTTGGCCATGCGGAGTCCAGCACCCTTGACCACCACGTCACCTGCCAGCCCCACCAGTGTAATTTTCAAGTTGCTGAGTTTAGGCCTTGAACCACTGTTAGCCATGTGGGAATCCAGTGCCTTAACCACCATGCCACCTGTTTGCCCCTTAAAATTATGATTCTAATGCATACAATTTTGTGATTTGCTATTGGTAAATACAGTAGTTAAGATGTCTGAGCAGTCTGGACTTATTCTCACAATAGAGAAGTATTTGGGGTGTATACTTGATCAGTGGACTTGTGGGCAGGAAACACAGTGCCTGACTGCCATTTTCTTCCTTTATGATCTCAGGAAAGTCATTGAATTTCTTTAAGAGATCAAGTGGAAAAGTACATAATGAAAAAAATATGACCTCTCACTGATATTTTACCCATTATCCCATGCTACTTAGTCAGGTATTTAGGGAAAGCATATAATTCCATGAAGAGCTGTTCTCAGACTCTGAGTAGAATATAGACTGAACTGGAAGAAACCTTAGAAATTATTTCCTCAGTTGAGATCTTATAGACTACTGGTCTACTGGTCCCTGCCTGGGAATCTAATATACCCCTCATTTTTTCAGACAAAGAAAATAAAGATGTTAGAATATAAGGTCTTAGGTGAAATTTTCTGGAGGAAGGACTCTGTATGTAGTTCAAATGTGTTTTCTCCAAGACCAGGTAGCACAGTCCTCTAAACATGGTCAGTAGTCCATGAATATGTGGTAAATAATGATAGTGAATTAAAGCCAGTTCTCAATTTTTTTTCTCTATACCATCTGAGAACTAATAAAAACTTAATACTGGGCCAGTAGGTGGCGTGGATGTTAAGGTGCTAGATTCCACATGACTGTTGTCCGGTTCGAGCCCTAAACCTGGTAGCTTAATATTCACTCTGGGCATAGTGTGCATGAATCCCCAAAATCCCAAGAGGAGACTGGAGGAGAAGGGGTTGCGGGGTGGCCATCCCCCATCAGGGGTGATTTTTCTCACTTTGTCTCTCTCTCTCTCTCTGGTAAATACATGCACCTTTATAGCAAAGATAAAATGATTAAAAAAAAGACAATAAAAACAAACACCTTATTATTAGCATACACTATGTGCCATGCACATGTTTGTGCATGCTAAGTAATAATAAGGTGTTTTGTTGTAAGCAGTTTATATGAATTAACTAATTTAATTCTTAGAATAACCTTATGAGGTAGTTACTGTTGTTATCCTCATTATAAGATAGAGAAGGTGAAGCACAGAAAGGAATAACTTATGCAGTTACTTAGCCAAACTGCTGGGCTCCCATGTGACCCTAGGTAGTTCGAGTTTAGAGTCATAATTATCACACTATGCTGCCTCTTAAATAAGCAATTCATAAGTCATAACTGCTTTTCCCAGCCTTAGTGCTTTCCTTTACTCCGTGTAGCCAGATTGCAAACCTCAGATATCATGTCATTGCTTTCTCTATGCCAGACACTGTACTTAAGTGCCAAAAACAAAGGCAGTGAATCCCATGTAGTGCCTATCTTCAAGCGACTCCTCAAGGTCCATTTAAGAATTTTATATAATTATTAAGTTTTTAAAAAGGCATGATCAGCCATAAATTCATCTTTTTTTTTTTAAGGTTTTTGTCATAAGGTGTGTGCACTCCACCCAAGAGAGACAGTGGGAGGGAAGGTGTGAAATAAGCTGCCAGGAGTTGTGGGGGGTGGCCATACCACAGTCCCCTCCATTCTCCCCTCTTCGTTTTGGGCACACATGCATGATTTTCAGTCTGCCAGACCTGGGACTCAAATCGCCACAGTTGGTCATGTGGGAGTCTAGGACCTTAACTACCATGCTACCTGCTGGCCCAATTCATCAATGCTTTTTTCTTTCTGCTTTTCTTAAAAGTATAGGTAAAGGCCAGTCTAACATCATTTTGTGTTTTAAAACTTATTTAATATACATTCTAATTGTTACTGTGTGTATTTTACCCCTTCAGATATTTGCTCTACAGAAAATCGGAATGTCTCGTTTCCAGATGTACACCACACACTTTGTCCGCGGAGTGTCAGTGTTGATGATTCCGATTGCTGCTACCGTGCCTTCAGTGAGTAAGCACCCCCACTGTGTACATACAGCGTGTCCTCTCTCCTCAGCTGAGACTTGCTGGGCCCTGCTTCTTCCATTTAGTTTCCTTTTGCTGATCAATCCACTATCGATTTCTGAGTTTTTATAGTAGCTATTTCATGCCCTGCATCTCTGGGAGACATTTGAATGTTTTTGTGATTGGTTAGTTTTCTTTATATGAATGTGTCTTAATTCTTCTCCTAAATCAAACTCCTTTTTCCTGTTATATTAAAAAAAAAATCTTGCAAAGTACCTTGCACATTATCAGGAACATAGTACAGGTTAAACATCCCTAATGAGAACATTCAAAATCCCAAATGGAGTACCAACCTGATGTCACAAGTGGAAAATTTCACAACCAACCTCCTCTGACAGATTGCTATGGTACAATAATACTGTATAAAATTACCTTCAGGCTATGTGTATTAAACATAAATGAATTTTGTGTTTGATTTGGGTCCCATTCTCAAGGTTTCTCATTGTGTATATGTAAATATTCAAAAATCCAAAAAAATTCAGAATTTGAATTTCAGGTTTCTAGCATTTTTGATAAGAGATACTTGTATTTTTCATTTGATTAATTCATATATTCAGTTCTTTCTTCCATTATAGCCTGGACCAAGGAATTTAGCACTTAATATCTGGATTTATAAATATATAATACCTATTTAACCTCATAACAACCTTATGAGATAGGTACACATGTCACTGTTTAAACCTAGTATAACTTTTGATAAAAACAAAAAGCAATATTATGTTTGTAGTTATTTCAGTCTTTTGCATATGTCCCACACATATCTTAGAAGATGCTAAGGGGGCAAATGCTATTTCAGGTGTATTTTCATCTTTTTAAAAAATTATTTTGTTAATTTCTTCTTTTTTAGCATGCTGTTGGGCATATGTACCCACCAGAGAGAGAGACAGAAAGAGAGAAAGAAACCGAACTACCAGGTCTGGGACTTGGACTGCTGTTGGCCATGTCAGAGTCCAGCACCTTAACCACTACACCACCTGCTAGCCCATACATTTTCATCTTTACTGAGTCATCACATAGATCATGAAGTAGAATTCATTTGTTGCCAGAAGTTACAGTTATATCAGCATATACAGAAATACTTCATAGTACTTACTTTCAGGGGAAAAAATGACTTCTGCTCTTAACTACTTTGTTAATCTGCCTTTGAGGATGTGTTACTTTCTTCCCCTAAAACAAGTTGGGACAAATAGACATGCTTAGTGTTGGCCACAAACTGCTTTCTACTCTAAATGAATGATCCCATTGATTCCTCACAGCAGAACTCTGAAGGAGATAAGGTAATGTTCCCATTTTATAGAAGTAGAAACTGAAACAAGAAAAAGGCTTATTCAGAGTCAGATAAATGTTAAATGAGAATTCAAGCAGTTTGACTCCAGGACCCAGACTCAGCAGCCACATGGTTTTGTTTCTGGGGTCTGATTGCCTTCTAACACCAAAGAAAAGTTTAGAACAATGTATATGTAGGAGTGTTTAGAGTTGCTACTTGGTCATTGACCTACACAATCTGGATGACAGTACAGAAGAAAGTTGAAGAGAATGCTGTCAGAAGGAGAGGATAGAATGTCTCAGAAGAAGGCAAAGAAAATGAATTACCTCAGTATACTGAATAACTGGTTACTGGGAATAGTTTGGAAGATAGATAACTGTGGGGGAAAATAAGGTCTAAGAAGGCTGTTTGCTATCATAAGTGGCTGCCCACCCAGTATTCTCTCTTTAGTATAAGTTGTTCGTTAGGACTCTGGTGGGGAAAAGTACATCTAATTGCCAAAGAGGGGAGATGACATCTCGCTCAGACTGCCTGGGAGTTGTTCTCTGTCATCCACTTTGTACCATAATGCCTCTGTTTGCTTTTTGGTCTTTTAACCTTCTTTCTTACCTATTTATCACAGGTATCTTACAGCTATGCCCATCTTAGCAGTCCTGTGGTACTTCTGTTTCTAGAGATTGTTTTCTTTTTTATACTTGCCTGTGACAGGACCTTGGTGTTCTTGGAGAATGGGCAGTTGCTAACACTCATGTCTTCTCTTTACAGTCGATTGTTCTCTACTGGTTATGCTCCAGTTTCATGGGCCTTTCACAGAACTTGCTGCTGCGTTCTCCTGGATTCCGCCAGCTATGCCGAATACCATTGACCAAGTCAGATTCAGACACTCCTTACAAAGACCTCTTCGCTGCCTTTTATGCCAAATTCATTTCAAGAAAATGACATTTTTCAGTAATTTTGAATCAGTTATGATTGTCACCTTAATGTATATAGATTGAGAAACTTCCATATCATTTAATTTGCTTTTATTATCAACTCCATGTAGTATTGTGTGTGAAAATATAATCCAGATATATTTGAAAATAATTTTAAAAATTTCAAGTGATAGAAATGTCGTCTGCTTAATTGCAAGAGTATAAAATTGGAACCAAATTGTCCCTGTTCATAAAATTATAACTTGTTAGTGATGCTAGAATTTTGGAGAACAGGGGGACCAGCAGGTAGCATAGTGGTTAAGGCGCTGGACACTCCCACATGTCCAACCGTGGTTCGAGTCCCAGACCTGGTGGCTTGCTTTCTCGCTTTCCCTCACTCTCTCCGTGTGTCTCTCTGTGGTCAAATTAAAATATGTGAATGAACAAATAAAATTAAATAAATAATTCTTTAAAAAAAAAAAAAGAATTTTGGAGAACAGGATTGGGTACTGAGTGATGTCAAAACATACTAAACAGTCTCACACATTAACGTTTTATAAAAGAAGAGGATCCAGTAGGTGATTCTTAATTATTTAGAGGAGGAGGAGAGGATTACGATCTGATTAAGCATCTGGAAAAAAGGGCTATGTATGTTTTTTCTTCAGAAATATTCTGCTACTCACAATATTAGGGCCTTCATTGACTTCTCTGAGGGTTGTCTTGCAACTTCCTAAAAAATTTTCTACTAGTGGAACATACATGGATGTTGAATTGATGTGTGTTTGAAAAAAAAAAAAAGGAGTTGGGCCAGCTGATGGCGTGGTAGTTAAGGCTATTGGATCCCATATGACTGACTGCTCTTCAAGTACTAGACCTGGGTACTTGAAAAACATTCTGGGCATGTGTGCATGTGTGCCCAAATCCCTGGAGGAGAGCTGAGGAGAAGGGATTGCAATGTGGCCATTCCCCGTGGGGGATGATTTCTCACTTTCCCTCTCGGTCTCTCTAGCAAGTACAAGCACCCTATAGCAAATTAGAAAATCAAAACAAAAACTCCTTACAAAAAGGACTTGAGGATGGGACCAGCCGATGGTGTAATGGCTACATCGCTGGACTCCCACAAAGGCAACTGTGGTTTGAGTCCTGGAGCCCGGTGTGGTTCGAGTCCTGGACCCAGTCAGTGGCTTCAAGTCACACCTGGGACATGGGTGTGCATGCCCAAGATCCCAAGAGGAGAATGGAGAAGGGATTGCAGCATGACCATCCCCCTGGGGGTGATTTCTTGCTGTTTCTCTCTCTCTCTCTCTTTCTGTCTTTCTGGTGAACGCACACACCCTATAGCAAAAACCTCTCCAGAAAGAAGAAAAAAAGGACTTGAGGGGCAGCAGGTGGTTAAGGTGCAAGACTCCCACATGGACTACCATGGTTCGAGTCCCAGACCAGGCAGCTTAAAAATCACACTGGGCACATGTACATGTGTGTCCAACCTGAGAGAACAGAGAAGGGATTGCGGTGTGGCCATCTCTTCTGGGGCGGGGGAGGGGGGGTGGTGATTTATTACTTTCTCTCTGTCTCTGGCGAGCACTTGTACCCTGTGGCAGAAATCCAGTACGTAGCCTTTGCATCCGTAATGTAGTAGATAGTATTGCCACCCAGGCCCGCACTGAAAAAATTGTATATTCCTTTTTCTGGAGTTAAGTCTGGACAAAGTATAGCATTATGTATCGCTAATGCCCAAGGCAGAAAATCGTAAGCATCAAGTTGGTTTAGTTGAAGAAAACCAGAAAGGTTGCTACCTTTTGTGGAGATGAATTTGACCTTGTTTATTTGCAAGAATTAACCTCTATACTTGTTTATTTGCAAGTACACCTCAATACTGGTTTAATATAGGAAAAAAAAAAACAGGTAATATGAATTGTGGATCTGATTGTTTGCTTGTTAATTTGGAAAGATGATAAAATTAGTTCTGATTGAGATATTTAGCAATAAGTTTTGAGAAGCTTTTGAGAAGATGATTTTTTTTCCCGTATGCATGATATGGCATGTATGTACATGTAAGAGAATGAGATGAGCCCCCTCCAGTGTCTGGCCACACCATGATCCCCTTCATCCGATCCTCCAGCCCATTGAACCTTGGGACTCAGTGCACACGCCTGGCATGTTTCAGACTGACTGGGCTGGGGATTCGACCCATAGTCACCATATATATCCAGCTTCTCTTGAGCAGTGTATTACCGCTGGGTCATGGAGCCTGCCCTGACATTACACATTTTCATTGAGTTAAATATGAACCTGATTCTCAGAAACCCTGTCGTTCCAAGTCAATATTTTATAATAAAATAAAAAAATGAAATTTGAGTGGTGTCTCTTAAATCTTGCCTAGTTACTGAAGGTATGAAAGTTTTTAGCATTAAAAAACCTACAACCTTGCAGCTCACTGAGAATTTAGAGGTAGATGGTAGCAACTGAGTCTGGATTCTCTTGTGTTTTCTCAGTCGTGGTTTATGAGTGTTCTGTTGAGGCAACTGCTTCCCAGTCACCGTGAAGGAATTCAGACTTACCTACAGTTGATCCTCATTTCATGAATTTTGTGTTTGTAGTTTGCCTGTTGGCTAAAATTTATTTGTAACACCCATATTAATACTTGTAGTGCTTTTGAGGTCATTTATGGGCAAACATTGGACCTCCTAATGGAGGTCAAACAAGGCGACATTCTGCCTTTTTTGCTTCAGCTCATACTGCGAATGAGTTTTCTGTGGTCTTTTTCATGCCATGTTTTTCCCATTTTGATGCTTTCAGTTGGTGATTTTGTTTAAAATGGCCTCCAACTGTTGCGATGATGTGCTGTCTGTTGTTCCAAGGTATAGAGAGAAATGTGACATGCCTGAAGGAGAAAAGCGTGCTAGAGAAGTGGTTCATGCGTGAGTTATAATGCCAGTGTGCCACATTTCTCTCTCATACCATGCCCTGTGCATCTCTGTCATCTGGCTGTTCATCTTCGTCCTTTGTAATAAACGGGTAAACATAAGTAAAGTGTATCCCTGAGTTCCGTGAGTTGGTGGTGGTGGGAACCGCCGTCTACAGTGAGTTAGCCAGAGCACAGGCCACAGTCTGGGGCTTGTGATTGGCCTCTGAAGGAGACACTTGTGTCGGAGTTCTTAACCTCTGGGATCTGACACTGTCTCCAGGTAGTGTCAGAATTGAAATAGAGGACACTCAACTAGAGAAATCCCCACACATCTGGGTGACCAGACTTGGTCTTTATTGAGTTGGAATAGGAAAAAACATTGGTTTTTTTTCTGTGTCCAAAACACGGAGTCTTATCAGTAAAGTGAGTATTTTTTTTTTTTTTGAGAGGTTTTTGCTATAGGTCATGTGCACTCGCCAGAAAGACAGAGAGATAGACAGAAAGCGAGAAATCACCCCTAAGGGGGATGGCCATGCTGCAATCCCTTCTCCTCCATTCTCCTCTTGGGATCTTGGGCACGCATGCACACGTGCCCGGCCACATGGTCTAGTACTTGAACTGCGGTCGACTGCATGGGAGTACAGCGATGTAGCCATTACACCATCAGCTGGTCCCAAGATGTGTATGCATCTTTTTATTATTAAGTCATTGGGAAAGTCATGATGTGTTTTTCTATGCAAAAATACACCAGAACTTTTGCCAGCAACCCAATATTTGGTCATCATCCATGGATCACATAACTGCAAGATGAAATCATGCAAAATTTTCGACAATTGAGTCATTTGAGTATTTTCCGTCATCTCAAAATATACCCTTCTCTCTATGAGCAGCTGAAAGCCATAATGTTCTGTCTAAAAGCTTAGAATGGTCAGTAGCTGGAATGCCAGCAAGCAAGACTCATTGAAACAAGTGAACTGAATTGTTCATCAGGTTAGGACAAGTAGGCTCAGAGAGGGAGCTTTTGGGTGACTCTTAAACAAATTACCTTAGTTGCAAATCATTAGTGGAATATAGTCTAAAAGCAAAAGCAATTATTAGTCATTTTGAACTTCAGTAATTATATTGCTCTTGGTAATTTTGCATTATTCTTTTGGCACTCTTGTAGTCAGGTGAAATAAATGATTATTATTGGATGTATCTGTGCTGCCATAACCAATTCTCTTGCATTGTTTATACCCCCTCTTTCAAAGCTTCTGCCTCCCTTTAACTCTTTTTTTCCTCACTGCTCTGGAAACTTAGGACATTTTTCACTTCTATTGATTCATGGGGAAAGTCATGATGCATGTTTGCATGGAAAAACAGAAAAATAAGTCACGACTTTCCCGATGACCTAATAGATCATTATTTCCCTCCTATTATATAAAAATAACTTTATATTTATGCCAACCAGCTCTGCCACTACTTATCATCGTTTTTTCCTGATATCTGTTCACTCCTCTCATTTACTGATTTCCTCTTTATCTGCAGCCTGCTATCACACAGGCTGGTATCAGCAACTAAGTGGATGATCCAGTTGGCAAGTTGCCAGTCAGTTGTTTGAAGTTAGAGATGTTAGTAATTTCCTTCCCACTCTTCGGGAAGTTTGTTATTGGATAACTAAATCTCATTGTTGGTCACAGATGATTTGCCCAGGGTTGTTCATGCAGCCCAAGTTGGACCAATCAGATCTCTTAGAAATTTGGACCAAGAGATATGAAGAAAGCAAGTTGGTTGGCTGTGGGGGAACTGATTTCTGTGCCATAAAGTTTACACCAATTATTACAGAAGCTCAAACCACATGTGTGCTAATGGTAGAAGACAAGGGTAACAGCAGTAGCATATATACCCAAAAAAGAGGGAAAAGGACCGTCTTCTAGAAAGAAGTTGAGGCTAAGAGATCCCATAATCCTCCCTAAGAGGTAAATAGCCATCTTCCAAAATTTGAAATTTTAGCCATGTATTTGTTTCCTTTTTATTTATTTATTTTTATTGCCAGAGGGTGTATGTGCTTATAAGAGAGAGATCATCCCCCATGGTCACGCCACAATTCCCTCTCCCCCATTTCTCCATGCTAATTTTGTTCATGTATGACATGTACCCAGTGTGTTTCCAGCCACCAGGCCTGCAACTGAACTGTAGTCAGCCATGTTGGATCTAGCTCCTTTAACTGCTATGCTACAGGGCCCACCCATATATTTGTTTTCTATTGCTGCTATAGCTAATTATCACAAACTTAGTGATTTAAAACCAGAGAAATTTGGGAACAGCAGATGGCATAATGGTTACATTGTTGGACTCCCACATGGCCTACTGTATTTCCAGTCCCAGACTCAGAGACTTAAAACTCACACTGTGTGTGTGTGTGTGTGTGTGTGTGTGTGCACACCCCAAATCCTGAGATGAGAATGGAGAAGGGATTGTGGTATGGCC